TTTTTTTTTTTTTTTTTTTTTTTTTTGCCTCTCAGCTTGGAAATACCAAATTGGTAGGAACAGGGAAATGGGCACTCTCATATATTGCTCGTTGAGTAATTGGTACAACCTCTTAAAAGGCAATTTGTTGATATTCCTCAAAATCCAGCCATAAACCTTCCTACTTAACACTTCCATTTCCAGAAACTATTCTAGAAATCATATGTATATTCTCTCACATAGCAAATGATATTGGTCATTATCTCAGCACTATTTGTAATAGCAAAAGACTGTAAATAATCTAACTGTCAATCTGTTGGGGTTTTGTTAAATAAATTATGACTTATCTTTAGAAATCTATGCAGCCATAAAAATAAGGAAGAAGATATTTCTATATTATAAGGAGCAGGGTTCAGAAAAATGTGGCCTGAAGGCCAAACTCAGCCCACTGCCCATTTTGGTACAACCCACAAACTAAGAATAACTTTTCACAATTTTAAATGGTTGGGAAAAAATTTAAAAAGTAATAACACTGGGGCCCCTGGATGGCTCAGTCAGTTAAGCATCAGATCTTGATTCCAGTTCAGGCCATGATCTCACAGTTGGTGAGTTGAACCCCAGGTTAGGTTCTGCTCTGTGCTGACAGCTCAGAGGCTGGTTAGGATTCTCTCTCTCTCTCCATCTTTTCTGCCCCTCCCCTATGTGCCTTCTCTCTTTCTCTCTCAGTCTCTCTCTCTGAAAATAAATGAATAAACTTAAAAAAAGAATAACACCTCATTACACATGAAAATTATATATGACTCAAATGTCTATGTCCATAAATAAAGCACAGCCACATCCATTCATTTACATATTGTCTGTGCCTGCTTTTACTGGACAATAGCAGATACGAGTAGTGGTAACAGAGACCTCATGGCCAGCAAAACCTTACATACTTACTGTCTGTTCTTTTACAGAAAATGATTGCAACCATGTCAGAGAGCATTTTCTAAGGTACTTCATTAAATGAAATAAAGGAAGGCGAAGAAATGGAATACGGGGTGCCTGGCTGGTTCAGTCACTGGAGCGTGTGACTCTTGATCTCAGGATTGTTAAGTCTGAGCCCCACATTGGGTGTAGAGATTACTTAAAATAAAATCTTTTCTTTTTTTAGTTTTTAAAATAAAATATTTTTAAAAAGAAATAGTATGTAGTAAGCTATAAGGGGAAAAAAAGGAGAAAATAAGCTTACATACAGAAAATATCTCTGGGTATCTCAGAGATAGCAGTTTGGTGGCTGAGAGGATGGGGACACGATCTTTCCTCTTATCTTTTGAGTTTTGAATCATAGTGATTCAAATTGATTTCAATCATATACTCCAGTATTTAAGCTCTCTTTAAGACTCCTGTAAAATGTGAGTTCAACTTCAAAATTAAACAAGGCATGAAAAAAATAGGTAAGTGGGGTGCCTGGCTGGCTCAGTTGGTTAAGCGTCTGACTTCGGCTCAGGTCATGATCTCACGGTTCGTGGGTTCGAGTCCCGCGTCGGGCTCTGTGCTGACAGCTGGCTCAGAGCCTGGAGCCTGCTTCAGATTCTGTGTCTCCCTCTCTTTCTGACCGTCCCCTAGCTCACCCTGTCTCTTTCTCTCTCTCTCTCAGAAATAAATAAAACGTTAAAAAAAAAATAGGTAAGTATATGAGGTGGCTAATGTTATTAACTCCGTGAGGAAAATCCTTTCACAATGTATTTGTACATCAAATCATCACATTGTGCACCTTAAATATCTTATATCAAATATACCTCAATTAAAAATTTCTTGAATAAATAATAAAAATCATCTAATTTACATATCAAAAAAAAGGTGTCTCTTCATCTGTTGAATTAAAGTATTCAGTATTGGTAGGCATGCTTTAGATATAGCTGGTGGGGATAACATTTGTAAAACAAACTTCCTGGAAACTAATTTAGTGTATATGTGAAGAAGCTTTTAAAAGTGCGTACCCTTTAACTCATCATTCCATTCTAGGAATCGATTCTAGAAAAAATAAGAAGATAAGCCAAAGATTTATATAACAAGATGTTCAAATTGTGTAATTTAGAATGGGTGACAAAGTTGTAGAGAGCCGATATATTCATAAACAGTGAATTAGATAAATAAAATATTAAACATTCATGTAATAGAATACTGTTCATTTGTTAAAATGGTGCATTTTAATATCATGGGAGTATTACACCATGTAATCTTAACGGAAAAGACAGAAATAATTGTATTGTAATTTAATTTTATTTATAATATATATGCATAGAATAATGCTAAAAGTAAGTATATCAAGATGTTAACAGATGTTATCTTTTTTTAATGTTTATTTATTTTTGAGAGAGAGAGAGAGAAAATGCTAGCAAGGAGGGGCAAGGAGAGAAGGGGTCAGAGGATCCAAAGCAGGCCCTGTGCTGAGAGCAGACAGCCAGATGTGGGGCTTGAACTCATGAACTGTGAGATCATGCCCTAAGCTGAAGGCGACCAGTTAACCAGCCGAGCCACCCAGGCACCCCTAGATGTTATCTTTTAATGCAAAGACTATATAATGTTTTTTCTTTGTACCTTTCTGAACTTCTTAGGTGCTGTAACGTGGGTATAAATTTCTCATATAATCAGAGGAGGGGGTGAGTGATGTGGGCGTGGTTACTTTTTAAAAACAAGCACGGAAAGGCCACACTTGCCTTCTTCCTGCCGTAGTAGAGCAGTTTAGTGAATTTCTCTACGATCTGTGCAGGCGTCTCCACGCTGGGGGGAATCTCCCCGGTGAGCAGGTTCGGGGTCCCTGAGCTCAGCACCGGCCAGTCCTCATCTGTCAGGTTGATGAGGTTGGCCACCGGCGGCTGCCTCTTGTACTTCTCCAGCTTCTTGCAGTCTTGCATCAGCAGCTCCGCGATGTCGGATCCCGCCATGGACTGCAGGGCAAAGGGGGTCATCCTGAGGGAGAATCCTATGGTGCTCGCGCCGGCAGCCCCCACGAAAGAAGGAAGTCACCAGAGTACTGCCGTCTGCCAAGGAGGCTGGCTTGCAAACACAAGACAGCCCTTCCTTGGGCTATAGTATTTCAAACTTCATCTTCACTCTCCCATGGTTATTTTCTGCCTGTCCGGAGCCACCAAGATTACCAGTAATACACACACTCTTACAGGTGGATTATGTGGTTGGTAAAGTGACCCCAGGCCAGTGGAGAAGGGCAGGGAAAAGATTATCATTAGCGAACTGACATCTGAGCAATTTTTGACCCTTAGGGCCATTTGTTGCTTCTTTATCATTATCTTTTTTTTTTTAATTTTTTTTTAATGTTTTATTTATTTCTAGGGGAGAGAGAGAAAGCATGAGCAGGGGAGGGTCAGAGAGAGAGAGGGAGTCACAGACTCTGAAACAGGCTCCAGGCTCTGAGCTGGCAGTCAGCACAGAGCCCGATGCGGGGCTCGAACCCACGAACCAGGAGATCATGACCTAAGCGAAAGTCGGACGCTTAACCGACTAAGCCACCCAGGCGCCCCTAACATTATCTTTTATAATCATGCCATGAGCCAAATCCTCTCTGTCCCAGAAAGACTTAAATTTCAATCCAGCCTGCACCTGCTCACCCGTTGGAGTAATAATACTTTACCCCATTCTGCCGACAAAGGAGAACCAATAGTTGCCACAATAGAGCTGAGTCTCTGCTCCTCTGTGTCTCAGATTTCCGGTTCTGAGCTGCTTTCTGCTGGCAAAATGTCATGATGTCCACCTTGTGTACATCTTCCCTATGGAAAGATTTCAGGGAACAAAGGGTGAGGGGCAGACTCTTTCCCTGCACAGCACTGCAAGCTCCTTGTACAGATGAGGGTGCTAGCAGATGGTGGGGGGACTGAGATAGAAGCCTGACCACCCAGGGCTGGGGTACTGACTCCATAGTTTCCTTGTAGAACAGGAAGGGACCTCAGAGATTTTCTCACATGCCCTCCCCATTTTATAGATGAGTAAACTGAGACCCAGTGACTGCAAGAGCACAGACTTTGGAGTCAGACCACCCTGCATTTCAATCTAGCCTGCCACTTCTTACCTTATAAAAATATCTCCATATAAAAGGAATTAACAATGTATATTAAGGGCTCAATAAATGAGCAACATTGTTTGCTCAAGGTCATTCAATAAAATCACTCAAATTGGGAGTAGCACCTCAGTGTCCACACAGCCAGCTCGGGGTTCTAGCCCCCTTCTGTATACCTGTGTGTAAGAAATAGATTTGACACTCACTTTTACTTGAAGGAACTGTCAAAATGCTATGGGCTTTTCTTGGAGGGAGAAGCTTCAGGATAAGTTTATAGAGTAGTGATGATGAAATACAAAGGGCTTCCATATGCATTATCTCACTTGTGTCTCAAAGCCACCATTTAAAGTAGACATAACCAGTGTTACATCATTCCCAAAAGAGAAGACTAAGGCTCAAAGAAGACTAGCTCACCTGTCTGCCATGGGGTCTCTAGTTAGTAGGATGCGTGGGCCAAGGACCCAGCTCCTTTTGACTCCAGCCAGGACTCTCTCTACCAGAGTGCCCTGAAAATTTATCAGAAACTTAGGAATTTAAAAGCAGTTCTAGCTCAGTCCTGCAGAGGGCAGACTTGCACACTGTCTGATAACAACGCAGACTATGCTATCCCTCTCTCTAGAGAAAGGCAAAAATTTTTTTCCACTATGATCCACTTGTCTATGATTTCCCAGGCTGTGCTCCACTTTTCTACCAGTACCTGTTAAGTGCTAAGAATGTTAAAACCTCCTACCACGTAGCTCTTGCAAAATAGAACTGTTTTCAGATTTTTAATCTTAATTTTTCTTTCTGTCCTTCAGCTATCAAATTGCTTGTAAAAATGGCTCAGGGCACATTTGTCTCAATCTCGTTGCACAGAATATTCCATTCCAAGGGGGATAGACATTTTCTTTCAAGGAAGCCAAGAACAAATCCCCAAAATGCTGATCTGTGCAGGCAGAGTTTGTAGGTTCAAAAGCCCTTACTGGGCAGCTCTTAAGATGAGTTACCTGGTCAGGGGTCCTGAGAAAGTCCTCATCTCTTCTTGTTCCTCAGAGTAACTAAGAATAATCTGGAACAAAAAAAAAAATATCATATTTCGTGTCCAAGACTATGTCTACCCAATGCCCCTGTCAGTCAAGTCTAGCATCAGAACCCATAGCTGTGGTCCTGGGCTGCGGCTCAGTGCCTCGTGGAGAACACAGCAGGTCAAAAGTGAGTTCTCCAATTGTTGAAAATGAGCCAAGAGCATCTCAGGAAAAACACAAATCTAGCATCGTTTCTTTAAGAGAAGATCCCTAATGTTCCTTCACAAAACATATCGCAAACCACAGAATGCCTGATCCAGTTCCCCACAAGATCACCCCATTCCTGGAGATGTCCAGACTCACGTAAAGGAAAGCAGAAGGCAGCATGCCAGCTTTCCGGGACACGGAATCTCGTTTACCTCCATGCTGTGCAGTTCAACAAGGGCCGTTTGTCCGTCACTGGGAGAGCTGGGACCCACGCGCACCAGCTGACCTCCTGGCCCAAAACTCACAGGCACATGAGAGATGTAGAACTTCATGGGTGCCTTGGGACCAGCTGCCGAGACATCCTCTGACCAACAGACACAGGTAGCCACGGTTAGCATTACTGCCACTGCTTTTCTTCACTCTATAAGTACACCACAGACACCTTTCTATCCAAATTCCACCTGAGCCAAGATAAGACTCTGGGTAGGTGACATAATTAGAAGAAGCCCACGATGGGGCACGTGGGTGGCTCAGTCGGTTGAGTGTCCGACTTCAGCTCAGGTCATGATCTCATGGGTCATGAGTTCGAGCCCTGTATAAAGCTATCTGCTGTCAGCACAGAGCCTGCTTTGGATCTTCTGTCTCCCTCTCTCTCTCTCTCTACCCCTCCCCTGCTGATGCTCTCTCTCTCTCTCAGAAATGAACAAACATTTATTTTAAAAAAACAAAAAACTAAGCCCATGCTACAAGTCAGATTGAAGTCTCTCAGAATATGTCAGAATATAAAATGAGGATCCACTGCTTTGGTCCAAATGGTAAAACACCAGGCCCAGATCCCCAGTGATGGCAAGAGGCTGAGGACTCTGCTCTCATTGCTCCCATACTCATGCATGTACCCTACATCCAGACAAAGCAAGTACGCTCTGTGGCCTGCCCCTGCTTTACCAAACTGACTCTTGCCTTCACTTCCTTCACCTGTTATATAAAAGTACATCTGGGTGGCTCCTCTCCCAGCCTGATCCTGAGGTTAGAAGCCCTGCTCCCTTCCAAGAATCAGCTATGATGCAATCTCCAGTACAAGAGAAAAGCTGAGAAATGGAGCCACAATGGCCTCAGGAGAAACTACATAAGTAAATGAGGCAGGCAGTGGTCCACTCTTAGAGGTACAGGGGAAGGGTGACTTTCCAAGAAGTTGCCACCCAGGCCTCTTCTCCCCAGACCCAACCAATTCCTTAGAGCATTGCAGTGCTCACCGGCCTGAATTGGAGTCCAAGCTGCTGACACCATGGGGTCGTATGGTTCAGGGTCATCTCGCATGTACTGACTGAGCTCGTAGGCGCTGGAGCTGAGACCAGCCTCATGCTGCTGGAGAAGGTTGGACTCGTTGGCCAGGGGTGACTGGGAGATAAAAATAATGAAAACCCATGGGAAGAATCAGAAGCACTTTCAGAGAAAGGGTCCTCTTGAGTGTTCCTTCAAAGCAACAAAATTGAAACTTTCAAATAAATACATTGAATGTGGATGTGCTGAAAGGGAAAGAAGGGATCATTTTATTGACAGGTGTTTGCTAAAAAAAAAAAAAAAAAAGAATTAAAGCTTAGTGGAAAGAGTGTGGGCCCTGAGGCCACGTGACCTGAATTCAAATCTCAGTTTTGCCTGGCTGGTTCATCTGGTAGAGCAAAAGACTCCTGATCTTGGAGTTGTTCAAGTCCTGCTCTACACAGTGTAGAGATTACTTAAAAATAAAAATAAGAATAAATAAATCTACAAATCCCAGTTTTACCGATACCTAGCTGCTGTGATAATCATTTGGACAAATGATTTAGGCTCTCTGAGCTCAGTACACTCATCTGTAATATAAATAATCATATCTGCCCTATATAGTTCAAGTACTTATACTCATGCATTCACTATTTAATAAGTAGTGCTTATTAAAGCACTGTGCTGTGCTTTCCCTGGGGGTAAGGTGTACAAGAAATTCACAGAATTTAGCCTGGGAGGGTAAAACAATAGATGCAAAAGCCCTTTACACACTGTAAAGTGCTGTTTTTGTGTGTGGTTTCTAATATTATGGGTATATATTGTAGTCTGTAGTCTGCACTGTTAAGACTTAAGGTATACAGGAGAAAATGTTCTCAAAAATCATATATATCTAATCATGGAAACAAAATTAATATAATACAGTCAAAATTCAATAACTTGGGGCACTTGGCTGGCTCAGTCAGTTAAGCGTCCGACTGGCTCAGGTCATGATCTCACGGTCCATGAGTTCGAGTCCCGTGTCAGGCTCTGTGCTCACAGCTCAGAGCCTGGAGCCTGTTTCAGATTCTGTGTCTCCCCCTCTCTCTGCCCCTGCCCCACTCATGCTCTGCCTCTCTCACTCTCAAAAATGAATAAATGATAAAAAAATTTAAAAATCAATAGCTTGTCTCTGTAATATCTTTGCAACTTTTCCATAAATCTAAAATTATTCTAAAATTAAGAATTTATTTTTAAAAACTGTAAGAACTTCACTGTGTGGTCCAGCTGGTACACTCAGTAAGGTTTCAGAAGAGACTTGGGAGAGTCAAGAGAGGTTTCAAGCTCTGTTTTTCAGACCAGAATTCAGATTCTAGCAAATCCCTACTTGCTGGGTAAACCAAATTGCCATCCACTGGGGTACCGGTGACAGCCTCTCCTCTTTCCCAACACCTCAGAATGACTTGGGTGACATTTCCTGATCCAGCCACACACACACACACACACACACACATGCGCGCGCGCACGCACATACACATAAAAGCCTAAGGGCCAGGTCAGGGCCCCAGGAAGGCAGGGAGGAGGAGGTATGAGTGGAGGTTCATAGAGAGGGGACAATGGCACCACTCAGACCTCTGGCCACTGGCCATCCCCACTCCCAAGGGCCCTGCCTTCCCACTATTTCATTGTTGGGTGTGATGCACTGTCACAGTCCACCAGCCCCCATGTCACTTCCGATTACCTTGTTCTTCTGGGTTTCTGTTAGCAGACTCTGCGGAAATAGGTCCCCAGGTCTCTCCTGTCCAGTGTTAGAAGCAGGACTGTCTTTATAAGGGTTCCGACTCTTGGATCTACAGCAAAATGACGGGAGCAGGTGAGGGGTGTCCTGGGCAAGCCAGCCAGAGTGAGCTGCTCTCCGCTGCAGACTTCCGCTGCACAGCGTGGGCAGTGTCAGGTGGCCTGTGTGCCACAGGGAAAAGCATTGCCCTCCCTCGGCTTCCCCAGTCTACCGATATCAGAGAAACAGGAGCTCCTGGGCTCCACAGTGCGGTTACTGGGAGTAACCCCAAACCCTGTGGAGAAGGGCTGGTCTCTGCAGCCTGACATCCTGGAATGGCTTAAATCCGAGCAGCTGGGTTGGTGAGTTGGTGAGACAAGGTCAAGGCAACAGGCTGAAGGACACCAGGACAGGCTCTGGTGAAATGCTCTTCTCTGCTCACCCCTTCCCAGGGGGTATCCCAGTCTCGGGGCCCTGAGGTGGGCAGAGGAGAAACATCCCAGCCTCAGGCAGGACCCAGTTATGAAACCTGCAAAGCCACACTTCTGAAGCCAATATGGAGTCCAGGCTCTCGTGGAGGGCGGACCTCAAGCAACCTCGCAGAACTCAGCTGACCCCAAGTTTGGGAGCTGCCTCTCAGAGTTAAGACTCCACTCGAAGCTGGCCTGGGACACCCCAGGCTGCTCCCACATCCCCGTGGCCAGAACTGAAGCAGATGGGAGTTCTGGAGACAGAGACGAGCACCAGATGCCATGGACTTGCCTAACACAGTCTGAGTTTGGCTGGGTCGTGTTGAGCTGGCCTCTCCTTTCACACTTACAGACTATTCTGGTTTTTGTGATGATGCTCACTGAGGTACTTTTGATCTCGGCGATCTTCCTGCCAGATATAAGGACTCTCTCGCCGCGGCACTGCACCCTCAGAGAAAACAAAATAAAGACAGGTCACTTCCTAGTCCTGAAAGTTTGGAAAGACAGCAGCGAGCTGCGAAGCTGAGTTACTGGAGTACTAGAGATATAAAAACATGTTTGCCAAAAAATAAAAGTTGAGCACTAACAATGGAAGTCAACAGAATGCCTTTCAGTCCTTCCTGAATCAATCGCCTTGGCTCCGTACAATTGTATAATCACGGGGATCATGTGTGCGCGTTTTCAGGGTTGAAACAGATTTCTCTTTGCTGGCAGGTCAGAAGCTACCATCCGCACAGACCTAAAGCCTTACTACTGGCAGAAAGTACAAATTCCTGGGGATGTATCTGCCACCCTCAAAGTAAATGATGGTCAGACTCCACACAGGCCAGCCACACACTTGACGACTTCATTGTTAAGAACTGACCCTCAACAATAGCCAAAACATGGAAAGAGCCTCAGTGTCCATCAGCTGATGAATGAGATGTGGTATATTTATACAATGGAATACTACATGGCAATGAGAAAGAATGAAATCTGGCCATGTGTAGCAACATGGATGGACCTTGAGGGTGTTAATACTGAGCAAAATGTCAGGCAGAGAAGGACAGATAACATATGTTTGCACGTATAGGAGGATTAGGAGGAACTTAACGGAGGACCATGGGGGAGAAGAAGGGGAAAAATAGTTGGGGAGAGGGAGGGAAGTAAACCATGAGAGACTCTTGAATGCTGAGAACAAACTGAAGGCTGGTGGGGTGGGAGAGGGGAAGGGGGTGATGGGCACGGAGGAGGGCACTTATTGGGATGAGCACTGGGTGTTATATGGAAACCAACTTGACAATAAACTATTTAAGAAAAAGAAAAAAGAACTGACTTCACTGTTACTTGCTCAGAGACTGTTAATCCTGGCTGTAACAAGGAGTGGAAGAAAAAATGGGGTGAAGTACGAACTACCCATAATAGTTTCAGGGCTATCACCGACACATACAAAGGAGAATGACTCCTTTCTGTTTCTTCCCCTCAAGACACCTGGCAGTAGTGTCTTTGCTGTGGCCACATCTGGCCAAGAAAGAAGCGGGTGTGGACAGGGGCTCTACGTCAGCCAAGCAGGACGGCCCAGGTGAGGCTCTGAGCACAGCCTGTCTACCAGACAAGCAGCGCCACCCCAAAGGCTCCTTGGAGATTACTCCATACCTCTTTCTTCCCGTAGCTGCTGCGGGTATCCGTGGTAGTAATAATCTCCGTAAGCATATTCTTCCCTCAGGGTTGGAGAATGATAGCTCCGATACGGATCCTCAATGCCTGGCCTAAAATATCACGAAGAAGGCCAGTTGTTCAAGGATGAGTGTGTGAAGAGAGAAACCAATGTTGGACTTGACAAACTAAATAACTTCAGAGGACAAATCTGTGACCTCAGTCTAGAACCTGCTTTAAAACTGCAGTTAATTCTAGATCAGCAGGAGTAAGGCCTTTATTTCAGAACAGATCTGGGATTTTTATAGCAAAACCACAGCCCAGTGTCTCATTCTCTTTCCCCATGATTCCCCCTACTTCTCAAATACATACATCCAACAATACACGATGTTATCTTAGAAAACCCAGCCCTGATCTTAAAATACCCCTTCCTGGGGCACCTGGATGGCTCAGTAAGTGAAGCCTCCAACTCTTGATTTTGGCTCAGGTCACAACCTCATTGTGGTCCATGAGTTCGAGCCCCATGTAAGGCTCTGTGCTGTCAGTGCAGAGTCTACTTGGGATTCTCTCTCTCTCTGCCCCTCCCCCATGTGCTCGCCCTCTCTCTCTCTCTCTCTCTCTCTCTGTCTCTCTCTCTCAAAATAAATAAATAAGGTCTAAAAAAGAATATTCCTTCCTGAGATGACTGTGTAGGTACCCAATATGCCATTGTAATTTCCATGCATATTACAGATGGAAATGAGATGAAGAAGTCACATTGGACTCTCTTAAATCTGATTGCTTTTATTGCCTCTGTGCTTAACATACCTTCTTTGAGAATTCAACAATACGAAACAGATTGAGGAAAGGAATGTCATATTGTTAGCCTTTTTATTAAATAATAATTCTTCAGTATTTCATAGGGGCAAAGGTTTATAGTAATTGTTATAATTTCAACCTGAGGGGCGCCTGGGTGACGTAGTCGGTTGAGCCGACTTTCGCTTAGGTCATGATCTCGCGGTTCGTGGGTTCGAGCCCTGGGTCGGGCTCTGTGCTGACTGCCAGCTCAGAGCCTGGAGCCTATTTCGGAGTCTGTGTCTCCCTCTCTCTCTGACCCTCCCCTGCTCACGCTGTCTCTCTCTTTCCTAGAAATAAATAAAAATATTTTAAAAATTTAAAAAAATAATAATTTCAACCCGAAATCTGTAGGCAGGTAAATATCACTCCACCTGGAAAAGCTGAAGTAAAACATACATGGCTTCCAATATTTCATAAAATATTAAATCCTGTGCTCTCAATTAGAATTCAGGAACAGAAATTCCAGATTCTCCTAGCATTACCTCACCGAGACCTCTTCACTCTGAATTTGGAGACTACAAGCTCATATTTGCTTTCTCTCTGGTCAATTTCATTTTTTAAAAATTTTCCCATTTATTCATCCAATGCATACTTTTTCTGTATGCCAGTCACACCCTAAGTACTGCTCTGGGCACTGAGTCTCTTCTTGGTGCTGGTGGTGTCAATGCAAACAACACTGAGAAGTTTTTGTAGGGATCTCTACAAAAGCACAAACTTTGGAGCGCCTGCGTGGCTCAGTCGGTTAAGCGTCCGACTTTGCCTCAGGTCATGATCTCACGGTTCGTGGGTTCGAACCCCGCATCGGGCTCTGTGCTAACAACTAGCTCAGAGCCTGGAGCCTGTCTTCGGATTCTGTGACTCCCTCTCTCTCTGACCTTCCCTTGATCACGCTGTCTCTATCTCTCTCTCAAAAATAAATAAAACATTTAAAAAAAAATTTTTTTAAAGCACAAACTTTTCCGTAATCTACAAATATTGCCTTTTGCCATCCCAAGTCAAAGGGTCTCCTCATCTGCTATCTTGAATCCACCATTCTTTCTACTTTCTGTCCTGGTCCCAACACCCAGTCACACTGTGATCACCTCTTTAAGAAGCCCCACTAGAGGACAAAAAGGAGGGAAATACTATTTTCAGTTCCCTAAATCCAGTTGGGGGGGGGGGTGGGGGAGTGTCCAGTGAAGCCAATGTAATAGGGTGGAGAAGGAAAAAGAAGAAAAAGAGGAAGAATAAAAGGAAAAGGAAGAAGGAAAAGGACAATCTATTCAGAAGAATGTAGGAGAGTTGGATGAACTCCAAGCCCGAGAACCATACCTTGAATACAACTGACCGGGGTAACCACCTTCATAATAGTCAACCCCTGACACAGGCTGATGCCTTTCCCCAGGCCTGGATGCATAATGGGGCTGCTGGTGGTCTGTCCTGGGGTCCTGCTGGGGCTGGGGGCTCTGGCTTGTGTCTTGCCATTGATGGTACCTCTCTCCATGGTACCGAGAGTGAGGAACGGGCCGATGGCTTGCATCTCTCTGAAGCCCTCTGTCTGGATCCTTTGAGGGTCCTGTGGGCCTCCCCCGTGGCTGAGGTGGCCATTGGGGAGCCCAAAATTCCATCCCTGACCCTCAGAACTTCCCTTGTGTTTTTATTCAGTTATGTAATTATTTTATCTTCCTGCAGACAAAAAAAAAAAAAAAGATCATTTTAGGCTTATCTCCAAACATGATGATTTGAAACATCATTTTGAGGACTTTTGAAAACAAAACACATAAGCAGTGATATAGAGATATCTGGGAGAAGATCTCAAGCAGATACATGAAATAATTAACAGGCTAGACAATTATATTGATCTTGCTTTAAAAATTAAAAAGAATACTTGGAGCAACAATAGATGTGGGAGGCAGGGGAGACAGAGAATAGTCATGGATAAAGCTCCAAAACAACATTGAAGTATCCCAATTAACTACATGTTTGTTCATTTATCTCACCAGCAATTATTCATTCAACAATTACTGTGAAGGCCCTCTGTGATCAGAGAAATAGGTGAGCTTAGAGACAGGCCAGAGTTTAAATCCTAACTCTGCCACCTGTTAGCTAGTTCATTTTTTTCAAGCTTCAGTTTCCTTGAGAAAGAAATAGAGTGGGGACCATAATGACTGGCTTGCAGTTGTTACTATCAGAGTCAGTGACAACTTATGAAAAGTACCCAACACACTGCCTGGTATATAGTAATTGTTCAATTAAAAAGTAGCTAGTATTATCAGAGATAAGATTAGGGCAGTATGAATGGAGGAAGACATTTCCTAAGCAAAAAGAAGCTTAAATGGATCTCAAGAGACATGTTTTCTGAACTCTTAAATTAACCTCTTAGAAGAACTGGGCCCAATGATATGGTCCTGGCTGCCCTTCCTCCAAGGAGACAAGTTTGGGATTGTTCTCATGACAAACCAGACAGCCATGTCTCCGTAATCTTCCTGCCTAGAGATTTTTAAATCTGGAGGTCTTCTAGCATCAAACTAGTTTTTCCCCACTTATTCTTCAAAATGAGAAACAGCTCTGAAGACATATCACCTTCCAAGTTCCTCCGCCCCGTATCACAGAGGAGAACCCACACCCAGCTGCCTCCAAAGAAAAAGCACGTGTCAATCTTACTGGTGACATTCTCGTATGTCAGGAAGATACATTGGCTCAGTCAAACGTCATTTTTTTCTCTCTTGGGAACTGTTTTAGGTTGAAAGATTTGGATCAAAAACAGTTAACTTGCTCCCACTCCTGAAGCTCCCAGCCTAATATAAAAAGTCATATCGGAACAAAAGGTCAAAGGGTATATGTTGAAATCAAGATATCACTCTGCCTGAATGCCATGGAGCCAGGGTCCACAGCTCGGAGCCAAGAGCTATAAGCAGAACATACCAGTAGAGCAAAGACACAGAAGTGCCTTCCACCTCAAATCAATCACAGCTCAGAAAAACTTCTACCTTCCTTCTTGAAGTGTCAGTGACTTTTGAAAAAAGTAAGGTGCAATGAAAGCCTTTTCCAACAAATCCCAGCCAAGTGCCCCAATGCAGTGAAAGGGCACATGGGTCTTTTCTGAAGGTCCAAGGAACTCAAAACTATTTGGATACAAGTAAGCTCAAAAAGAATAAAGCCTCTTTTGCTGGCCTTGTCCCCAGATATTTTCACTAGACAGCCCTTCTCCATCTACAAAGGCACAAAACCCAATCTCTTCACTGAAATCACATCATTCTATTGTTGAGATATCAACTCCCATAGGTTAGACCTCAGATTATAATTAAGGACACCAAATGAAAGGCACCTAAGATTCTCAAGTGAAGGCATCACATCTTCAGTGACAAGCCACACTTCCACATTCATATAAGTAACTCCCCCTGCCCCCAGCAAAGGTGATCTTGCCTTTCCTGATCTGACAGTACAGCTCAGCCAAGAGAAGGAAAACAAGGGAACGAGGGTCCCCACACACCTGCTCAGACGGCTTCCCACCTTCCGACAGCACAGCTTCCTTCAGCGCTCTCCGGGCCCAAGTGTGTCTCTCCTGTTGGAGAATGTCAAAGTCCAGGCCCCACATCTACCAAGGCTTACCTGGCCTTCACGTCTACAGCCAGTCAGTTATCTGTCGCAACTGCCTGGCCTCCATGGAGCTGATTCACTAGGGCAAAGTACAACCCGGATACCCCCATCTGGAACAGGCCTGACTTGGTGTATTTGCTCCAAACCCTGTCAGAGGCTGGTGCTTCTATTTGCCTGGTCATGGGCTGAGCCAGGTTGACTTACATCCAAATCCCAGAGCAAACAAGGAACAGCGAAAGCAGGGAGAGGCAATCCAGAAAGCCTGAGGCGGCCTGGCCTGTGAGAAGAGCACCACCTTTGGGGCGGTGACTCGTGCCATTGCCACTGTAGGCGCTAATGCTCAACCTCTCAAAGTCTCGGTTTCTTCCTCTCTAAAAGGGGAAAAACCATGCTTAGCTTGTGGGAGTCGTTATGAGGATCAAAGATTAGGAAAATGGCACGTGATAGGGAAGTATACATGCTTTATAAATAAGTATGAGCTTTTCCTTTCAAAACACATGAGCTGGGGCACCTGGGTGGCTCAGTCAGTTGAGTGTCCGACTCTTGATTTTGACTCAGCCCATGATCTTAGGATTGTGGGATCAAGCCCCATGTTGGGCTCCGTGCTGAGCATGGAGCCTGCTTAAGTGTCTCTCTCTCTCTCCTTCTCCCATTCGTGGGCTCTCACTCTCTCTCCAAAATTTAAAAAAAAAACATTTTTTAGTTAAAAAAATAAGCTAATTCCACTGGTTGAGTCAGCCAGACACTCACTGGTGGGTAGTAAACGCCTCGCTTGTCTGGTCTGGGTTTTTCTCATTCATGTTTCTCCCTTTCGGGTTCTGATTGTGTATCACCTGTGTTGTCAGATGGAAGGCAAATTTATTGCCGGATATTGAATTGCAGGCACTGAGAAGTTTTCTATTACAAAAAGAAAACAATTTTTTTGTGTTCAAAAAATGCATTTCTTCAGGGACATATAGAGAAACTTATGTCCACTTGTGAATTACTATTTTAAAATTCAGCAAATCATCATGTTATATACCTTAAGCTTACATGGTGTTATATTTCAAATATATCTCAATAAATCTGGGGGGGGGGATAAGAAAATATTTCAGAATTTGTCCTAAAAAGGCCCAAATCACTTATTCTTTTCTTTCAACAAACACTTGCTGAGGCCCTGCTATGTGTCAGGACTTGAGACACTTAACCATGAAGGAAACAGGCCTTGACTTCAAAAAGCAAGAGCCAGCTAACTTCTCATGTTGTTACTAGTCTAGAGAAGACACTTGGGTGGATCTCATGGTCACATAAGGCAGTGTACCCTCAACTACATGATTTTGTCTCAGACCCTCAACCAACTCCTAGGGCCTGGCAACTAACTAGTATAGAATTCTCTCACTGTGGTAATGGTTTCTTACCCCACTGATGAGCCATGGGCTGTTACTGCCATTTTTTAACCCTCCTAAAAAGAAATACTAGAGAAGTATTGTATGTGTATGTAGACATACACATTAACAGCAGGAATCAGAAGAGGGTTGATTATGACACAGATCCAAGTATCAAATAATATGCTCCAGTACATCACAGTAGCATTCATGAAAATCTGATGTAGCTCTTTTGGCTTATGACATGATGGTAGTCCTGCCCTGTAACACCAGCTACATTACTGGAGTGCTAACTCTGGAAGGGACCTCGAGGCTATTTTAATGACTTCACTTTATTGATGATACAACTAAGATCCTGAGAAGTGAACTGATTTACCCAAAGCTAACTGGACATTTGTTCAGGATTACAATGGTCTGCTGGAGTTCCCAAGTACTGGGCTTCCAAGAGCCGATTCTTAAATATTCAGAAATTGTGTGAGCCAGTAGTTAAACCATTGGTAATCTGGAATCCACCCTGGTGAGAAGGTTTACACAGAAACCCCCAAAAGCTACAAAGCAGGGTGGTTGCTGTTGATTTCAGAGATCCAGTTTAACAGCATACTGAGGACAGCCCACAAATCCTCCTTCCTGCTTCAGTGTTCTTTCAACCACAGAATCATCATTCTGTTACTGGCTTTCACTGCACATCTCTGGTTTAAACATCTAGCCCAGTTTTTCCAAATGCTCCTTTTGTGACATCCCAAAGCATCTCTAATGATCTCAAGAGTTATTATAAAACCCTTCAAACACTCACCAGCCAAAATTAATCTTAATTAGCTTAATTGTTTTATATCGACATACAGCATATAACAGCTATATGGGTCATGGAATGAAATAGATCATAGAATGAAATAGATCTCACCGCTCCAAAGATTTGGGATTTATCAATCCTTGCCGTTACCAGCCCCACATATCTACAGTTACTAAGTCTCTCAACCTGGCCACTCAATTCCTCCTGGTTTCTATCCAAATTTGTCCAGCTTGACAGTACATTAGCAGCTCATCCCCTCCCCGCCCCCCCGCCCACAGCCAGGAGGTGGGCTAAAATTAGTCCTAACACCCCAAGTCCTTGGCAATGCCCATGCAGCATCCCATAGGCTTCCTCATGTTGGAACAGCTACACATGTCACGTTATCCCTCCTGCCTGACTCCTGCTTTTCATTCCTACTCTCCACTGGAATTGGAGCCCAGGCCTCCTGCCTCTATGTGAATTTCCTTTCCCGGTCTCTGTTCCCCTTTCCAAATGCCAGACCACTGACAAAAATCTTGCTTTTCACAGGAATAACTACCCTCGTTTGACATTTGTCTAACAAAAGTATCATCACTGCTAATAATGCTGTTCATCTCTACCCACCAGACTAGTGCTGATGGATGTGAACACCCACCTAGATCCAGGTCAGATTTGCCACAAAGCTGTGTACACTATGATTTAATGACTGCGTACTCTTGCATGGGACAGCTCGGTGGCTGAGACAGGCCCAGGCTTGACCCTATTCCTTTACTCAAAGTGAAAATTTAGAAAACAAACTGAGAGGTCCTATGTCAACAGGTTAACAGCAATTGTTTGACTGGATAATGGGATTGTGAATGATGTTCTTTTTCTCTTCTAACTTTTCTACAATAAA